CTCTCTGGATATGAAATCAGACTCTAACAGAGGCGCGTGGAGAAGCTGCAGGGCGTGCTCATGTGTGGCGTGCAGACTTACATGAAAGTCCTGTGATGTAATTATGCTGCAGGGATGTGCAAAGCAGCACTGTGGATCCTAACACCATGAACGGCTACAGACATAAAAACAGGAGGAAATAAATAAATCTAGAGAGTTCTGTTCAGTTCAAACATGGTTAAGAAAACATTTATTTTAATCTTAGGCTGTAATTGGAAGTAATTAGAAAGGCTGAATGAATCCAGTGGAAGCAGGAGGAGCTAAGGTGAAACCAACATTTCTCTTTCAGCCATCAGTGGAAGCAAGTTTGCATATTTTAGTGAAAATAAAGTGAAAAAGCGTCTGGGAGGTGTGATTTATCTTAAATATGAACTAACACCTGTAGTGCCTGTTGGTGACGCTTCCTACAGTCCCACAGCGACACCTGGTGGCTTTCAGAGGAAACACAGATGCCCCCCAGGAGTCAGCCTGTGTCCTTGGTCTCCTGTTTCCACGGCAGTGGGTTCTTCAGCTGGCCGTGGGCAGAAGATGCCCTGATGATAGACACACGCAGGCAGCCAATAGGAGGACAGAACTTTATTGAACAGTAAATCGTGACAGAGAACATTAGATTCTTTTTTTCCCATTGCAAACAAGTATGAACAGACAAGTGTTCACCACAGCAGCTCACAAAGGGCCTCTGTGACGGAGAGGATGTGCAGATTGAAGGTGGGGGGGTCCTGGTTTTTTTTAAAAGTGCTTTATTGCACGGTTCCTCTTGGAGGAAGAGAAGAGGTGCTGCAGGGTGACCTCAGAGCCTGGAAGGCCTCGTCCGCCGTGTGATGCTGCCATGACAGCGTCTCCTCTCCAACGCGTGGCTACTTATTGCATAACATCAAGCTGGCTCATGAATGTTTTAGTGAAATTTTAATCTTTAGGTTAAAATGTAATAAAGTCTTCACAATATTTATAATACATCTCATAATATCTAAGATACATTCTTATATCTGATTACGATAGAATATGTAGGTGATATACATCCTGTGGCTTACTGCTGATAGCGAACATGGCGGTCTCTATGATGGGGGGGGGCAGTGCTGGTCAGATGTTTTCAAACTGTGCAGCCAAATCTTGCTTTTAAAATCCATTAATTTCCTTTTATCAATCTATTTGGTTTCAAATTAAAAGTCCAGAGTTAATTTGTAAAGATTCAGTTGATGCACATAAAGCTCTGAGCAGCACTGCAGGTAAACGTGATTCAGAAAAGATGTTGAGAAGATTTAAAGAAATAGAATCAGTTTAAATCATGTTCTAAAAACCAGCATGTGGAATATTGAGAGAGAAACAGGCTATTTTAGGCCTAATAATCCCTTGTGCTTCGGTTTTATGATTGTATAAACTCCAAATCGTACATTTTTAAAAGTTCCTCAGCAAACATCCCAGCAGGATGGAGCAGATGGCAGACGATCGCCACAAAAAAAAAAAAAAAAACAACACACAGAGAGGAAGAGGAGAAAACATGGCGTCCTGACAACTACACTTTAACCACTGCACTTCACCGTCACACATTTACGCACACGTACACAACCGAAAGCACGAGGTGAGTGAAAGCCAAAACAATCACAGCTGAGTGAAAACAAAAGAACAAAGAGACGTTCAAGAGGAAAGGATCTAAAGAGGGAGAAGCAGGAGGTTTGAAAACCAAACCAGGCAGAAAAATAATTAAAAATTACAGCAGAAACAATCAGGAACTGGACAGAAGTTCACATTAAAGGCTTTCTGACTTTTAATCAGTCATTGGAAACATGATGATCATACAACTTCAATGATCCGTTAGTTTTCCCAAAAAGTTAAAATCAATCCACTGGACTTTGTTTCCAAGTTTGAAGACGTTTCTCTTCCATCCAAGAAGATTTTTCAATCCCAAAATCTTCCTGGATGGAAGAGAAACGTCTTCAAACTTGGAAACAAAGTTTGTTTTTTAACTTTTTTGGAACGACTGACCTGGATGACTGAGAATCTGCAGTATATATTTTTGCAAATTATCTGTGGTTAGAATTATAATTAAAAGCTGATTAACAGATCAGCTATTGAACATTTAGATTAAAGTTTTGTAGCAGGTTGAACTTCAGTCACATGTTTTCTGAGGCCATAAACAAACTTCCAGCTGTGATTTCTGACCGACGCTCCGACCAGAACCGCTAAAACACGACATTTCTCAGACCTCCAATAGATCCAGCTGGGCCGTCCTAAAGTTTTAGTTCAGTCCTAAAAAGAGCGTTTAGAGGCATCAGGCTGAGACCTTTCAGATGGAACCCAGACCTGCCAGGCACGGTGGTGGCAGCGTCATGCAGAGGGAATGTTTGGCTGCCAGTGTGTGTTTCAGCATCTCCAGTAGATATAAACCTAAGCGCAGTATCATCTCTAAACCGTTGGAAAGGTTTAATTAAATCCAGGCCTGTAATTTTACATAAACTTCTGTCCAGAACTAAACAGATAAAATAATAATAATAATAAAGCCCAGTTTAATGAGTCAACGGGTCTATTTTGATTATTAGCGGTTATCAGTCCCATAGAATGGCTCCAGGCTGCGACTCCTCTACCTTCTAGAAGGTTTCTAATGTCAGATAATATGCAGCTTATGGTTGATAACATCTGAAACGATCAGTTTACTTTCTATAGGCGTGCAGACGGCGCAGGGGTTAGCGAAAAAAAAAGTTTTACTTTCTATTTACCTGCTTTATACTTTTTATCTGCTTTATTGACACATAGCTTCTTTTAAAAACAGTTTTAAATCTTTCCTTCCAGTGAATTCCACACGTTTCAGTCACACAGATTTAAGGAGACGTTTAAAAACCACTCAGTTGACAGAATATATTGTTCGATATGAGCGACATATCAACTATTCTTTACAATAGATGAAAAACTTCTAAAATTATGTTCAGATTCTAGATAAATATATCAATTAATTCTGCAGGTAAAAGAGGAATTGCTTTAGGATTAGGATAAAAACCTACTGAGCCAATCTAGAGCCATTTTCTGGGACTGAGAGCCGCTAATAACGTCCATTTATTGGGTTGATAACATTTGAAGTGTCTGTTTGCCCTTTTCTCTTCCCTCATACTTCCTCATAATTATGGCTTTCAGTTTCAGTAAGACGTAGAAAAAGGCTGAGGTCAGTCTGCGAGTGATTCAAGCAGCAGCGCCTCGGTTTAAGAGCCGCCATATTGCAGCAACCTCCTGAAAGAATCATCAGCACATAAAAACACAACAGTCTGCACACCTCAGTCAGGCTGCATCTGGGATCTTTATGTCATTTGCTGAAGCAACTCGTCTATCAGCCGGTAGATCCTCCATTTGGTCCTATGCTTAAACTGGGAGCAATGGCACCTCCAAAGAAAAGCAATCTAAAGATCAACTAGTTCCTCTTGGCAAAAAGTTATAAAAACAAAAGCAATCTGTCTGATGTTCCTTCATTTGACCCAAATCTTCACATTAAATCACCACATTAAGAACTGAAGGGGGCGATGGAGGTAGGTGTGCAAATAAGCCGTCATTTACAACAAAAAAACAATCAACTCTAAAACAAAGTTCATTTCATTTGCATATGTACAATACAGAAAACAAAGCAGACAATACAAAACACAAATAGATACGCTATACTGCTTCTAGGAGGGAATATCTATAAATAAAGCTCACCCCCACAAATGATATCACAATGAAAAAGTTGCATCAGATGTGCAGCAACCGAACGTCTGTCTGAGCGACGGGAGCGAGGAGGGAATGTAAGGTCAGCGCTCAGCAGAGTCACCTTCACCAATGGCAGCGAGACGCAGAGACGCATAAACAAGATACGACAGCGCGGCGGCTTAAAGCAAACCTCTAAAGCAAAGAAGCGGATATGTTTGGTCCGAATCAAACGGCAACGAGACACTTTTCCTTCAGCTCTTTGGATTCTTCCACTGAACGCAAGTTTGGACGCAACCGGGAGCAAACGCCAGAAAATAATTCACACGTCCGTTTCTAAGGAGAGAGGAAGGATTTCCATAATGGCCGACGGCCCCTGAAGGCGTCACAAAGTGCTCTCTGATCATTAAAACTAAAAACGAATGTGATTAAAGCTGCAAAGCAAACCTCAGAATGATCGACTTTCCTGCAACAGTTCTCATCGTTCTCATCGTTCAAAAGCTGTGAGAACAAAAAACAAACGTTGTTCTGAGGCCAAACTGTGGAGCCATTGTGCTTCTGCTTCATATCAGATGAAACTAGATCTCTTTAAAAAGCAAAACAAGCAAAGCTTCAGGTGAACGGGGAGGAAGCGGATTCGCTGGAATCACTTCCACACGCCGCCCTGCAATGAAATCAGCTGCTTCACATTCTCTCCTTACATAAAGGTCTATTAGCCTTTATTTTCTAAGTATTCCGTTAAACTCCGGATTAGATAAATCCAGGTATTACCTCGGTTTTAAAAAGTCAGAGCTTAAAACTGACTAAAGTTTTTTGTCATGCTGTGGGTCAACAGGCTGAAAGAAAACCTCTAAAACTTTCTGCTGCTCCTTTTAACTCTTTGGTGAGCCTGTGAAGCAGACTAGCGACCCAATCTAAGTAATCAACCAGCTGATACGTTATCTACTTTATCTTATTTGGCTCGAAGCAACAGAATCACAAATATTTAATGTTTTTCACAGTAAGAAGCTAAAATCGTTTGATTATGTATAAGTCTATACATTCTAATTAATTAAGTCTATTACTTAAAATTGAAACAGTAAAATCTTTGATTTCCTAAATCATTTGGTATTATTTTAGCAGGATTTACAAGTTTTAAATAAATAAAAATGTGTTTTTTTTAAGTCTAACCCAGATATTTTCCAGCAGGCTGTGAAACCATGAGGACCTGATTCTGGTCCGTCTCTCCTAAACATGCAGACTGGATCTTATGGTTCTATTTAGTGGGAAACTGGGAACCCAGTGATGTTCTGATGTTCTGTTCAACAGCAAAGGGCGGGACGTCTAATCTGCTAAATCTGACAATCATATTAAAAAGTGAATTAAATCTTCTAACTACAGACCTCTGATCTCCGCCGTGGCGCCGTGGCGGCGCCGCCGACTGGAACCGTGCGCGCTGCCTCAGGCATCTTGGCAAAATAAAAGCTCCCTCCTGAACTTTTTAAACATTCAATCCAACAAAAACAAAACAAAAAATGGTGTCTAAGAATCGGATGGAGATGATGGAGCTGAAGTGATGCATCGTGGGAGGAAAGGCAGAACAGATGTTCCCACTTAGTTGTCTTTTTTAGGCAGGAAGCTGAGGATATATTCGCCCACGCCCAGGAAGTACACGACCTGGGCGATCCCAAAGAGAGGAGCGATGACCAGAGCGCGGCAGTAGGCTCCCTTCAGGAACGCAGACGGACCCTCGTTACGCAGGATCTTCCTGAAAAGCACAGAAATCCACCAGAATACAGACGCAGTGTTAATAACCAGCCTGCAGAGATCAGGAGAAAGACTTCAGACATCGTCAGGTCACCTGATGCAGTCCGTCACTCCGGAGTACGTGTCTTCTGTGCTCGCTCGGTTCAGCGACTGCAGTCTGGTCTTTATTACTGCGCGTAAAAAAGCTCAGGTTAGCGTTTATTTAGGGTGTTTTTCTGAAGGAGAATCTAAAACGCTGCGGCTCACCATCGACGGGGTTGACAGCGACGGCTGCTGTGCTCCCGGCGACGCAGCCCGACACGAACGACACGTAGAAAGGAGCGGGGCCTTCGCCGCCTTTCTTCCCCAGGTTATTCAGATTGGCAAAGAGAGGGAAATAGATGATGGAGAAAGGGACGTCCCTGATCACCAGAAACAAAACAGTCAGACCTCAGCAGAGGAGACCAACCACTGCGTTAGAACATTGAACTGCTGTACCTGAGCAGCGTGGCCCCCAGGCCCTTATAGAGTCCAGCGATGCCCTTTTCCCTCAGTAACTGTCTGGTGATCTGCATGGCTGTGGGAGACTTTATCTCCACGCTTCCTGCCGCCACCGTTTCCGGCATGAGCTTCCTCTGAGCGGCTAAAGGAGAATCAGGAGAAATAATGCTGATTACAGCAAAAACAAAAACTCTGACCTCATTATTATCCAATGCAAGCAGAAGCTGTAATCTCTAGCATCACCACATGAGGGCGCTCATTGCCCATCAGACTTCAGACTCTTACCCAGCCTGCCAGCATCCTGCAGCTGGATTTTCAGCATCTCCATAGGAGTTGTTATGACGACCTGTAGAGGAAGCAGGAAATAAATGAAGTCAAACAACATCCACTGTTTTTTATGACTGGTTTGCTAGTTTCACTTTTCAACATTTTGCCACGTTGGAATCAAACTGATCAAGTTATTGAGGTTTTAGTACAGAGGAGCTCATTGTTATAAAGGAAAAGGAGATATGGAGTTAATCTCTGGCAGGTCTGGACTTTGATTAGGCTGATCAGAGACTGGAGTTTGGGTTAGTTGGTCTAAACAAGCCTGTTCTGGATTTAACTGCATCTTTAAAGGAAAA